CTTATCTATAACTTTTTCTGTCTGACAGTGATAAATGGATGTGGATCGAAATGGTTATTAGATTTAGAGGCTTTAATTACAATTTGTAGCTGAAATATGTTATGACGTCGTGTTTCATTCGGCGCGATTAGCGCCTGAAACCATATGTGATTTGAGAGTGCCACTCTAAGAGCAATTTCTTACAGGATCGGGCAAATCGTACACAATGATGGGCTCACAAGACAACAAAGGAATAATTCCCCGGTTATGCGATACACTGTTTGGCCTAATAGCAGAAAGACAAAACTCGGAGCTCTCTTACAAAGTGGAAGTTAGCTACATGGAGATTTACAATGAACGCGTAAGTTCCCCACAAAACATTTCACCTTGAATCTACCATTAAGAAATTGATTGCTTCAGGTGCATGACTTACTGGACCCTCAAACGAACAAACAGTCTCTAAAGGTTCGAGAACACAATGTTTTGGGACCTTATGTGGATGGACTTTCTCAACTAGCGGTAACAGCATTCCACGTAAGATCAATTTATTTCACTACTAGCTACTCACGCTTAATAATTGATCAACTAATAAATATTCCAGGATATCGATAACTTAATGGCAGAAGGAAACAAATCAAGGACAGTAGCAGCCACTAACATGAATAGTGAATCATCTCGGTCTCATGCAGTATTCACGGTAATTCTAACACAAACCTTAACTGACACGAAAAGCGGGGTAACTGGGGAAAAAGTCAGTCGCATGTCCTTAGTTGACTTGGCCGGGTCTGAGCGAGCTGTGAAAACTGGAGCTGTGGGAGATCGACTCAAAGAAGGGTCGAACATTAACAAGTCTCTTACTACCTTGGGTCTAGTCATCTCGAAATTGGCAGATCAATCCTCTGGGAAGCAAAAAGACAAGTTCGTGCCATACCGAGACTCAGTGTTAACATGGTTGCTAAAGGATAATTTGGGAGGAAATAGTAAGACTGTGATGGTCGCTACAATTTCACCAGCAGCGGATAATTACGAAGAAACGTTGTCTACTTTGAGATATGCGGACCGAGCAAAGAGGATAGTCAATCACGCAGTGGTTAATGAGGATCCTAATGCCAGAATCATCAGACAGCTAAGAGCAGAAGTGGAAACATTGAAGGAAATGCTAAAACATGCCACGGTAATTAACTGATCAATATCAATAAAACGAAAAAAAAAACAGGTCTTGTAAATTTTCCGAATCTGCCCGAAGTCTTATCTTAAGATATGAATTTAAGTAATAAACTTTTAACGGTTAGTGTTGCCTATTGAGTTTTGGAGCTCAACACGTCTTTGAATTTCTATCAAACGCTTGGACTTTAGGTGAGTCTAAACTTGATGGTTAATTTTAGGCTTTTCACAATTTTAAAGATAATATCTGGTGCACGGTTTACTAGAAAATAGCCATCTACGTGACATTGAGCACGAATGCCGCTTATGGCAAAATCTGTGGAACAATTGTATTATTGACGTCTTTCTAAACAATAAAAGCAAACAATAGCGTTTACTTTTGATGCAGCGACGCGTTTTTTTTTCATATTTTCATTTATAGCGAGTCTAATATCATAAATTAGTGTTTGCGCTCTATATTACTAAACATGCACACGGTTACATGTCAGTCAGGCGAAGTAATGAATATGCAATGGGCTCTAAGTCGAATCCGACCTTTGAAGTTTTAAAGTTCGTTCCGCACTGACCTGAATCTGTTCTATTGGCTATAAATTAAATTCCTTTATTAGGGTTCACCAGTGGGAGATATTCAGCGTGTAGACATTCACCAAAAGTTAAGCGAGAGTGAGAAGCTTTACAAAGAAGTATCACAAACTTGGGAAGAGAAGCTCATGAAAACTGAACGAATACAGAACGAACGTCAACAAGCGCTGGAAAAAATGGGCATCAGCATTCAAGACTCCGGCATCAAAGTAGAGAAAAATAAATATTATTTAGTCAATTTAAATGCAGACCCATACCTAAATGAACTGCTGGTATATTATCTGAAAGATTGCACGGTAGTTGGGCAAAAAACTGGCTCGACATGTGGGCCTGATATACAGTTATCAGGCCTTGGCATCCAGGAAGAACATTGTATTATAACAATAGAAGAAAATGGGTTGTTTTTAGAACCTCTTGCCAATGCGAGATCTTGCGTAAATGGTTCCCAGGTTAGCCAGAAAACCCAACTGAGACACGGAGACCGGATTGTTTGGGGAAACCATCACTACTTTCGGGTGAACTGTCCTAGATCGATTTGTAAGTATTACTATCACATATTTGGAAATTATACTGATAAATCAAATGCTTTTCGTAGCAGCTACATCCGAGCCCCAAACACCCGCACAATATATTGATTACAATTTCGCGCGGGACGAGCTTATGACCAATGAGCTGAGCAACGATCCCATACAAGCTGCTATTGCAAGGCTAGAAAGGCAACATGAGGAAGACAAGCAAGGTATTTGAACTGCTCTAGGACGGAATCTTACAAACGCAAATTGCGATATTTTTAACAAGCCGTTTAAGAATAATTGTTGCAGATTGTTTGCAGCCTTTTAATCAAATGACAATGTTTTAGTCGCTCTGGAAAAACAAAGAGTCGAATACGAGAGGCAATTCCAGCAACTGAGAAATATGGTATCTCCTTCTACGCCATACTCTCCATATCCGTACGATCCCCTGAGAATTGGATTAAGCAAAACAACGCCGTGCACCCCGACTACTCAGATGAGGGTGGAGAAATGGGCTCAAGAAAGAGATGAAATGTTTAGAAGAAGTATTGGGCAGCTGAAGGAAGATATCTTGAAAGCCAACTCTTTGGTGCAAGATGCAAACTCGCTAGCAGAAGAAATGGGGAGACAAACGAAGTTCAGTGTCACGCTGCAGATTCCTCCTGAGAACTTGAGTCCAAATAGAAAGGTATGTGCATTTAGAGAGACGTGACTTAAGGTTCTTAGAGAAAAAATCTACTTTAGAAAGGCGCCTTCGTGAGTGAGCCTGCGATATTGGTCAAGAGGGGCATATCTAGTCAAGTTTGGACCATGAAGAAGCTGGAAGACAAAATCGTCGATATGAGGGAGTTGTATGAAGAGCACCAACGAAGAGGAGGCACGTTTAACGTGAGAAATTCACTTGAAACAATAAAGGCGGTCGAACACAAAGCATTGTTTCAGGAGTCAAACATGATAGAACCAGACCCTTTCTTCGAATCACAAGAGAATCACAATTTAATCGGAGTGGCAAATATATTCTTAGAAGCTTTATTCCATGAAGTCAGCTTGGATTATCACACCCCTATAATAAGTCAACAGGGAGAAGTTGCTGGTCGTCTACAGGTGACATAGATTGAATAAGCACAAATAGAACTATCAGAACATAAGACGCGGTTTTTAGGTTGAATTGAGCAGAGTATCAGGTACTTTACCACAAGACCGAATTTGTGAGGCAGCTTCGGACAGCTCCTCGGACTGTAGCCATGATGAAGAAGATCAAGCTAGTTCCGCTGTTACCTGTCGCGTTCACATTAAACAAGCGACAGGACTTCCTCTGTCGTTGTCTCACTTTGTATTTTGCCACTACACATTCTGGAGCCATGAGGAAGTTGCGGTTCCAGACAAAAACATTGGGGAAAACAGCCAGAAACATTCAACTACAGCGAAGTTTGATGACAGCCGAGATTTCACAGTAACTCTATCTGAGGAGTTTATAGAGCATTGTGCAGGTATTTAAATGTTCATTCACCTGCCTGGTTTATAGTCTTAATTTTGGGACATTTTTGGCAAGCATGAGTAGCAAACAACGGAAAAATAGTGTACTTAGTCTGTGGTAGGCGAAAGTGGCTTGTACGTTTTGAACGAAAATTTAAATCTTCCAATTTGGGAATGGGATTCGCATTGTGTTTTTGCTCAGTTGTTTTCAACAGCTTAAGCATGAGAATCAATGACATCGTTAGTTAATGGAGAGAAACAAGCACAAGTGGCTTGCGTTCACAGATGTGTTTTGTAGGGGCGCTTACAACAGGTCTGAGATTTTCGGGTTTCTCCCCGAAGTATCGCAAGCACGACTGTCTTAGAGGGATCTTTAGAAGTTACTTTTCATTTAGGAAAACCTTTTGTGCGCAATTTTACAAACAAATATTTCATTTTATTTTATACCATATATAAATATACATCTAAATGAAGATATTCATTCTCTTACCCATGCCATTAAATTGCACATTTCACTCGGCGAATGTTTTACCACATCTTGTAAATCGATGGAATCGACGTAACCCAACGAAAAACACAATAAACTTTTTTTTTCCAGGTTCAAACGCACAATCGATAAACGATCAACGCTGTTTACACTGATAAAATGCCAAATATATTAATGAATTAATGTTTTAGTTCAACGTTTTGTCTCATCAGACATGATTTTTCACGTATAAGCAAAAAAGTTTAAGAAATCGCGCCGGGAATTTTCTAGTTTAGTTAGCTATCGTCTTTGCAAAAACCAAGTTGCTCATGGCATAGTTTACTATCAATGCGAACAATTTTTCTCAGTTACGTTTCTTCTGCAAATGTGGTTTTTTGGCACTTTTCCACTGTTAAACTAGAAAATTCTCATAAAAAAACGTTA